GCACTTTAAGTGGTGTGGGGGGCTGGGCTCCTCTGGTTCATCCTTGAGGATCCCATAACTTCTGGGGTGGGTCCAGCCATGGCTCCATCAAGGATGCTTCTCCGTTCTTATCCTGTCAGCCGCTGGAGCTGAGGACCTGGCCCCGTTTACCTCCCCGGCCATGGAGCTTGCATTCCAGGGGGAAGGGAGGAAGGGGAAGCAGGCACGGTCTCCAGAAAAAGGGACACAGAGAAGACCACCCAGGACAGGGGGGGGATGGGGGCAGGCACTCCCCTAACCAAGAAAAGAAGGAACAAGGGCCACCTGAGTCTGAAGGGCCACCACTTCAGTAGATAAACCGCAGTCGCCTCGTGAGAGTTCACACAGCACCTCTGCTCCAGATGCCAGATCGGCTTCCTCAATGAAGTTTAGACTGCAAGTTCTGATCCTGTAGAGTTAATTTTCCTAATATGCCCCCTAGAAAGAGTGGGCTACTTTATGAATGTGGCGGGTGGGGTAGGTGCCTAAGGTCCCATTCTACCTGTCCGTTCTCCTTCACACAATCAACCATCTCCTCAACTACAGCTCCAGAGGTGGCTATTTCTGTCTTCCGTCCAAGCACGGTCACCCTCTTGCTGCACAAGGTCAGGGGCTGTTTCATGAGGCTGGTGGGGCTCAACAGGCCAGCCTGCCCTTTGAAAAGGCCCCGGTGAGCTATGGACCCCAAAGCATGGTCAGATCCCAGCCTCAACCCTCCTTGGGCCTCTTTTGTGATTTGGAGGAACAAGCAGAGATAGAAGGTTTGCGGTTGCTGGTTTTGCACCACCTTAATTTTTTCAGGGGTAACTTTGGTTTGCCTCATTCCTGTCCTAGTTTGGGGGGAAGGAACTGGAAAAAAAAAGTTTGTACTAAAATCTAAGCTGTGCACGTCACTCCAAAGATACGCTTTTCTATTTACAAGTTCTTCTAAACAATATTCTCCAGTTGTGTTTTGGTGCCTTAGTTACATGAGGGCATGCATTTTTGAGAAGACATTTCCCTGACACATACTGTTTAAAACTAAATTGACAAATTGCATTATAGTATAAAATTAAGGAAAGTGAGATGCTCAAGTTTTTAATTTGAGCATTGGCTTGAAAACATGGAATTAAAGAAAGCCACGCTGATAACACAGACTAAACAAATTTTCCACCATCCCTCTTTCCAAGCCATGCATTTTTTTGTCACACACCCAGGTTACCACATAGGTGTTTGCATGTGCATGTGCTTTCCACAGCTATAATTATTCTGCATGTACACGAAACAGTTGCTATAAACACTGCCATGAGAAAACACACCTACACAATCTTTCAATGTAAACACAACAAGAGAGCAATTTTAACGAAAAGTGGCATTTTTCCAAGGGTAGGTACCATGTTTCTCTACTTTTCAGTTGCTGCAGGGGCACACTTGAGACAGTGGGGAGTAATGCCCACCGCACTTAATCCTTCCGATCCATGGCTCCATCCAAAACTGAAATGAATATCTAGGGGAGGGATGTACCCAAAGGCACCTCTTCCCCAAGACCAGTTCTTCTTCCCCTTCTCTACTTCTCACCATCATATCTTCTCAAAGTTTGACTCTTTTCCTACATTCTTGATATTAGGAACAACCTTAGATGTGGTGAAGTCCTCCTGACATCAGGCACCAATTTTAAGATCAGGAGCAACAAATATCAACACCCAACTGTCCAGAGAAAGTGAAGACCCTGCTGTAGATGTTCCCACAACCTCTTCTTTGCATGGAAGAATGGAGGAACTTCTGCCACTGTTGTTCTTTGTCGATGAAGGATCTATGGAGGCCTTCTGCTCCACCATTCATTCCTAAGAGGAATGGGGTAAGGGGTTCTAATATATAGGAAGGAACTAAAGGGATCCATCAGGTGATCCAAAGGAGAGTGATATGATTTGTTCTTGCTGGTCATTCTGAGTGGGATGCTCACTCGTGGCCTTCAAAAGACCCAGCCAGGAGAATGTTTGAAGAAGGAAGGGAATTTGGAGTTGAGCACTGAACATCTGTCTGCAGAAGTGCAAGGGCCTGGCATACTCACCTGATTTCATTCTAGCAAACTTAAAAGTACAGGAGCCACGGGACAATCAGGATTATACTGATCTACCTTGTTATTTAAGGGCTGGCTTTATTGCTTGAAAATTAATCTTAAAGTATACCTCACACCTGAAGATTAGCTCTCTCTTAAATGCCTGCTTAGCTGATGTGCATCCAAAATTGATTGGAATTCAATTCTTTAACCTCAGGATTTTGCAAACGCTGTACGCACATTACACCCCCAACAGACCAGAGGCTCCTCCATGCGGGGAGCCTACTTCTAATTAAACAAGTCATGAATTTCTCTGCGTGGCCCCCCTCCCGCCCCGAAAAAAAGCCCTCCCAAAAAAACCCACAAGCCCATTGTGGGAGCATTAAGAGGCGGCCCTCCTCCAACCCATTCTGCCTCGGCTTATCTGGCGAGGAGGGGGCCGCACAGCTTGGGAGGAGAAGAAAGTCCAAGGTGTAGCTGGTGCTTTTGTCAACAACGTGGCTGGAATTTAACGTGGCTGTTTTCGAGCATCAGGGCGCCTCCCCCTCCCACCCAGGCAGGAAGGGAAAAAACATAATCATCTTTCATGATGACAAACTTGGCTCAGTGCTGGCTTTACATACTGTACCCTCAAAGCGGGCCGGCAGCCAGCCAGCGCTTGGCACGAGGCCAGGGCCACGGCAACAAACAGAAGCCGCGTGCGCCAAGGGAGCGGGCGGGGAGGATGGGGGACGGGGCAAGAAGGGGGAGGCAGCCGAGAAGCAAATACATTTTACACCCTGCGTGTCCCGGGCTGCCCTCCGACTAGGGAAACGATGGTTGGGAAGTTGCCAGCCCTCCTCACCCCCCCATTTCCTCCCCACACTCCCAGTGGGCCCGAGGAAGGGACACCTGCTGATAAAAACACAAATCCTGTACATGCACAATTCCCCAGAATCCACAAGGACCCAAAAGGGAGGTTTCTGGGGGACCCGGCTGCAGTTGGCATAGCTCCCCCAGGGGCAAAAGGAAATAGAGGGGGGGGGGCTTTTGAGGCATCTGTAAGGTTCATGGAAGTTTCCTGAAATTAGAGCCCCAAGAGCAAACAGGTCTCCCCAATTTTTCTGTCATGGCTGATTCGCCAAGATCAGCCCCAAATGCAGCGCTGTCCCACTGATGGTTGTTCCACGACCTGGTAAAATTTACTCTCCCAACAACAGAAGAAACAGAGGAAGAGGGCGGACGAGGGGGGGCGTCTGCTCCCCGCGTATTTGTTCCTCCTCCAAATTCAAATCAAAACCTCTCTTGGGTAAGATGTGAGCATTTTCCTATCGATTGTTAAGCTTTATGGCGATGTTTCCTCTGGAGCATTCTTCTCTCTATTTACAGAATTCTTAAATGGTCCCAGAATTAGGCTGGAAACAGAATGTCACAACTTCCATCGTTCTCTCCTCCTGCCGGGACTTTTGCCCCTCTTAGGAATGAGGAGTAAAGCCTCACAACCAGGGGGCTTTACTTGGGAGTGACAACTAAATGTTGCAGCACAGCAACCCTGTTGAGGACCCTCAATTCCATCCATCGCCTTTATATAGTCCCACCACCCCACCTCACCCCAGGGTGGTCCTCCCAGAAATTAATCTGTATGCCAGTTTGCCTGAATAGCATCAAAAAAGTTTCCAATGATGAAGATGGTAATGGTGATGTCGGGGATTAAAAACCTCAAGATTTTATCCAGATTCTTGGGCATTAAGAACACTATAGTGGCACCCCAAGAACCGAGTTTTCTATTAGTGTGGGTGCCCACAGACACTCTGTTCAGAGATGCCCCTATGAGAGAGTTGGGAACTAAATTAGCTCCTAGAGAGCCAAGTATCGTCACAAGCTTAGCATTCTAGTTCCTCTGTGTACATTTAATTAAAGGACCTGCATCATTTCAATCTAATAGTGAAATTCATTAAACAAGTGCCCAGTTCTGCCACTTTTGCTAATGAAACTTTGGTGGATGCTTGAATTTGGAGAAGAGATGCACAACATACTGTATGTTTGAAACTGCAAAATACATCAGTGCCGAAGGAAGAGTAGAAGAAGGGCCTGTCCAGGTTGGAAGCTGATGGACGAGGCCTCAAACTCACCAAGCCAGAGGGCTTCCTGACTGCCATTCAGAGCTTCCCTTGTACAACTGGGGAGCCCAGAACAACCTTTATGAACAAGAAGGTCTCACTCTGGGCCTCTCTAAACGTCCCAAGCAGGAAGGACGCCTGGTCCACCATCTCAGAAAGAACCCAGATACTCTAGTTTTTGTTCCTCTGCAGGGCAGAATCAAGAGCTCCTGATCTGAATGCCTCAGCATCCAAATAAACTGAATCCCCGGCCTGCAACTCTAGTTCTGTTTCTTGAGAAATCTCTGGACCAACGATGGCCACAAATCACATCTCCCTCCAAGACTCAAGAAACCGCAGCAGCTGAGCCCCATCGCTAAATCCCCCCACAACACAGCCAGGGATGGGATATTAAAGACATCAATCTGTTTCATGGTTGGTTTTACTCTCTTAAAAACAGCCACAGGAGTTTCTTGCCTAGATGGGTTTTTCCTCAGGAAGATCCATGACAGTCACTCCCAGGTGGCATTCACCCCACGAAAGAATCTTTTTCAGTGGAGGCAAAATATCCAGGACTAACCAGAGTTCTGGGAAGAGGGAAAAGGAGAAGGCCAGGGGCAGAGGTAACCCCCTTCTTGTACACTACTATCCAAACAAGGCATCCAGCCATTTAGCACCACGCCTCCTGGGGTCCTAAGCACACCTGTTGGGAACATACCTGCCCTGCTGGAGGACCAGGCTGAATGCCTTACAACCAAGGATTTGGGCAAGTTATAACTTCAGGACAAGACCAAACAGCATGAACTTTGGGGAAAGAGGGGAGAACACTCAAACACACATACACACAACAACAACTCTAAACTTACCTGAATGAGCCAGTAAGTGCATCCGAAGGCGGAGACTGTCAAGGAATCTTTTTCCGCACAATTCACACCCGTATGTCTTCATTGCACTGTGCAGTTTCCTGGGGGGAGGAGGGAAATGAACAAGATGAGAGAAAGTCTAGGTCCATAGCTTATGGGAAGTGGGGTCTAAGTGGGGAGAAGGCAAGGCCCTTCTTGAAAAAGTCAACCTACATTAGGGACTCTTCCCCAAATTCTATTGATGCAGAGATTCTCACCTGCTCAGAACACCACCCCCCCAAAAAAAAGATTGCCTGTTTTGCTGCAAGAACCATCATTAAAGGAGGGGCAGAATTCTTACATGGGAGGAGAAGCAGTGGCATTAATTTTACAAGAGTGGCTCATATTTTTTTAATTGATCTGACATCTTAGTGAAGATCCTGAATACCGAAGCAAGGACATACACACACCTCATTTGTGATGGGTGTGTATTCAATGGGTTGACTTATATTCTATTCCCTGCTTGTCTCCACATTGCACTTCTGGTTGCCTTGTTTCATCTGGGAAAGAACTTTTTCACATTTCCAAAACAGGGTGGAAATGACTGGTGAAAAGAAGCAACAATGTCCGTACACATGAAATGCAAACAACATGGTTGGAAGAGGCCCAAAGACACTAAAACAAGTCTTGGAGAGGTTTACTTTCCTACTTCCCACTTGGGCTGTGATTTCCCAAGGCAGAAGCAAAAGCCGTCTGATGGAGACCCCCTCAACCTCTTCTATAAAGAGTCAGCCTGCTTTTGGGGAGCTTCAAACCCATTGATCAGCTCCCCAAAACATTGAGTACACTCAACCCTTCACCAAGGATAGCAGAGTCAGCCAACCAAGAGCAATAATGGGAGCTTTATCAAGCCCCCTAAAGGTGGTCCTGGAGGGTTTGGGGCACAAGAAGGAGGAGCCACACAAACACAGACTTTTTGGTAGGGGATGGAGGGGAGTCTCCAGTCTTCCAAAGTCAGGCCTCTTCAACTGTGGCCTGTGTACTATCCATGCTTTTAACTCGGACAGGATTCAGACAACGTATGAAATGGCAAGCAAGATTTTCAGAGATTTTAACAAAACTATCGATGTTCCCACTTCTTAAAACCACCTTGCTATATTCTCAACATTTCTAAAGAAGGATTTCCCCCCCTGAGATTTATATAGCTAAAGCTCTAATCCAGCAGCACAATCTGGCACTTCTGAATTTCGTCAAAAGCAAACATTTCAAGGGTAGTTTTGAGGTTTTTCTTCCAGTGGAACATTTGAGAAACGTTGCAGCAAACACAGTTTTTGTTAAAAAGGAACAACTTTTCTCAAGACAAGTACCTACTTACACAGATTCTTAGTTTGGTTGTAAATAAGGTGCTACGTTTGGCATATTTTAGAACTTCTGAAAGACACAGTTCAGCTAGAAGCAGGGAGAGGTTGGAGAAGAGAGGGAAAAGAACAAATTTCTATATCCGTTTTATTTATTTATTGTTTTGGCTTTCCAGCCATGTTCACAGTCCAGTTGTGGGCAAAGCAAGGGTGGGTATTAGAGGTGTCTATGTGTAGAAAGATCCAGCAGCTGCTTGTGGCAGTTGCTGAAAAAACAATTCTTCAATCGCACAGTTTCAAGAAAGGGGGGGGGAACCCACTAATTATAACCTTAGAAATTACACAGGGACAGTTGCTGCTATTTGCCATCTAAATGGTCGTTCAATTTGTTTCTAGCTGAAAAGAAAAGAAGAAGCAAAACTCACTGAGATATTTTATCTAGAACAGAAAAGGAAGAACACAAAACCTTTTAAAACTTCATTTAGTAAAAGGAAGATGATGTGCCAGCCATGCCCCAAAAGAACAATTCTCTATGCCCCCTACACCCTGGATGAACAGTAGGAAAAGAGTACAATAAACTGCTTTTATTTTCGTACTATGTAAGCAGGTACCAAAGGGTTCATTCAGCTAGCTGGAATAATG